GTCGACAGTCTATCTGAGAAGGTGAACAGTGGGAGATCTTTGCTGCGCGTTAAGTAACTTTCGCCACCTCAGTTCGAAGAAACTGGGAAGAAACTAAGTGGTTGTGATCTTCATAGGAGCATGAGAAAGATGGCCAGAGGGTTGGAAATTTCTGGCGATTATAAAGAGAATAGTCAGACTTAACCTACACAAATCTCTATGAGCTGCTCAAGAGAAATGGTTTAACTGAAGCAGAAAAGGCTAGCGCAGAAGAACAGATATGTAGCCATTCTGGCACGAGCTAAGAATGCCGATCACCTTATGACCGTGGTCAACAGAGAAAAGATTTTCGTCATAGAGGAGAGCCACAGTTCTAAAACACGACCTGCTGAAACATCGAAAAAACCCGACGTTCGGTTGTCTCCCCTATGTAGAAATCATTTTCTGAGAATGTCTAGGTTAGGGCCTTGGCTGTTGGTCGCACTTTGCTGGTGTTCGACGAATAAGGGTGGGGGGGGGGGAACTCGATTTCGATACCTACCTGACGGACGTTTTGAAAAAGTATTTGTTACCATGGTCCATTGATCACTTTAACGACCGGAGATGTTCCTGATGAGCGATTGGATCGCGATGCAGTCGCTCTTGCAATGTGCACAAGCGACGGGCGATTGGCCCCGCCCACATCGATGCTGTCGACATCGGTACAGGGTCAACCCTATCGTTGTTACTTTTTGAAAAATTTTACGACCCCCTCCCCCAAGGTGGATTTGATACGACCCCCTTTTCCACACCTCGACCACTCATTTAATTCTGATACCACCAAACCCGCCCACTTTTCCTCCAAAAATGCCGTCGAGCGGGGGGGGGGGTGTTAGCTACTCTAAAACAGTAAAATTCCCTATATCTCCGCCATTTTACTCCTACTCTCACCTCAAACTCACATGTGATTTCAAGCGACTGAAACGGGTACGACCCCCCCCCCTCCTACAAACTCAACCAAATACGACCCCTCCGTTGTTATTAGTAACAACGCAGTATCGGTATCGATTCCGGCAGGCCACTGCCCGCCGGCTGCACTTTTGGCAGAGCGATTGCATCGCGATGGACAAGCGATGGAGCGATCGCGTCGCTCCGGCACTGGTCCATCGCGATGCAATCGCCGAGTCTGGCCGAGATCTTAACGAAAATGTCCAAGATTATGCCGTACCTACTCCGTGACTTAATAATTTCGAGGAAATGGCCCGCTCGCTCTCTCGTTCTCTAGGCGATAGGCTATTCTATCTAGGCTTTCTCACAAGGGGTGGTCTTTCAGGAGGACACCCGCTTTCTCAAAACGGTTTTTTGCATGATGTAGAGGGATGTGCATGGAGTACAGAACTGTGGTCCATTTCCGCTAAATGGCCCTCTGAATGCCAAAAAAGGAGTGGGAAAGTGGTCCTTGGTTCGATTCCCCGCGGTGACAAAATTTTTGCATTGTGATTTGACGCCACAAAATTGGCACCAAATGACCTCACGTCAACACTGTGAATCGATGTCATATTCAAATTAGGATTACAAAAAACTTATGAGTAGGAGAGTTATACCGTGAAGTGGTGGGAAAAAATTGTGACGCAAAAACGATACCAAATTGCGTCATAGGGGTTCGAAATGATGTCGGAGCTGAAAATGAATGTCATATTCGTAATCAGGGCACCTGATAACCCTTGTAGTCGAAGTTTCCAAGAAAATCAAGATTTTGACCCAACTTCGAAAAATTGCTCCATGATAAGTAAACTCTGTAGCACGTCAGGCTCGACGGCGAACTTCTTGGAAATGACCTCCTCTAGATCCCTCAAGAAATGAGAAATGTTCCTACCGAACAGACATAGCAGACACCCAAGCTGATGTTGGTCGGGGGGAGGGAGCTACCTACGAGTAGTTTTCTGCTAGTTTTCTGTGCGGAGCTTTCCTCCAGGAGGCTGGGAATACTTGAAAAGCTATTTATGTCGTGTGTGTTATGGATTTTGTAGTCCGTGAATATTTATGTTATATGATTGTGTGTAATCAATTGAATAGACCTATTTCAACAGAATTTACATGGCAGAAACAGTGATGTAATATTTATAGACCAGTTAGCGCCGCCTCCTGCTGCCCCTGAACACAGTTCCGCGGCGATATGGAATAGTGTGACGTAATTTTTATATTTGGTAATATGATATTATGGAGCTATCCCTGCGCCTCATAAATTGTATATCTTCGTTTTTGAAATCTCTTGAGGACTCTTGATGTAAGATTTATTGGTTAGCTTTCGCTGTGATAACAGCTTCTTCAGACCTACAAAACATCAAGCATATTACAATACTTCAAACCTAGGAGACATCAACATAATAAACATTAACTGACCAGGCCGATGCTCTCGCTAATGGGTAACTCTGCAAAGCACAATTCAAGACCATATCAGACTATTGTACAAACCAGGACAACAACGAAACGATGATCACCTCACTCTAGTGCAGTTGCTAATAAAATAAAAATCACTGGGAATGAGCAGTACGTGACTATTTCACAGTACTGGCTTTTATCCACCGTTAACTCAGAAGTCTCATAGCCTCCATGGCCTCCTCTCTGATGTTTTTATGTGATCCTAGTGAAGTTTCCTTACCACAACCGGTCTTGAAAATTCCACGCGCTGGAATATAATTCGAATCGTAGAACCCTGCGGGTTTTATCTGCAGTTTGCACACGCTTTGATGTTTTGAATTCCCGCGAAGCGTGCGTATCGCCGCGCAATATGCCGCGTTCCAGCTCGGACTAGCCGAAAGTCCGTGCCCAAACAACCCCCGCCCACCTTCGGTCCATCTTCCACCATCAGACAGCAGGACCTCTTCTTTTTAGCCAATCTTCATCCACTTTCTTCCCAGCTTCTGGGACCTCTCGAAATTGAAGCATGAAGTTTTGTGACAACCCCGCCCACTCTGATGCACGCTACGTCCACCGTAAGCATTTAACCTTCCCTATTTCTCTAACCTATATCCCAGGTCAACCGCTCGTTGCGCAAAGAACAACGAGGGGGTTGTATTCGGCCGAACGAAATGCGAGGGGGTCGTATCCAGAGAGACTGGGCCTCTGCACCGTGCAGCTGTCGGAGAGTCGCACAGACAAGAGCTCCATGGGAGCATTAGAGCATGCAGAGCATTATAAGTCTCACTATCAGCCATTATTATCCTTAATACACGGACGGCGCTTTCGCTCGACAGCATAGATCAAGATTACAATAGCCAAAAACTTTGTTACAGCGTAGTGCAAAAACATGGTCTGTCTTCGATGATCGAACATTCCTGAAATCCCAAGGAGAACAAAGTGTAGAGCAGTTCATGGGGAAGTGAAACAAGAGTACCATATAACAGTACAATGCAACTCAATCACGATACTAACACCTTCTTCAGGAAAATGGAAGACTTTCAAATGCGAGTGCGACTTCTGTCCACAGACAGGTGCACGGCGTATACCCGAGCAGGCGTTTTCCCAAAAACGCCTTCTCTGTCAGCGGCCGTGAGCAGACAAACTTCCTGAAGAGAATTTTGATGCTTTCAAATCAAATCTAAGCGGAACAAAGTGTAGCGAACTTGCTGAATTGAGTTCTAGAGACCCCTTAGGAAAATTGAGGCAGAAGAAAGAATTTCAGGAAATTTCACATTTTTATGAAGTACTCTTCGAGTAGATTCTAACAGTCTTTACCGCTTCTCATCACATTAATTTTGAAGGAAGTTATGGGCCCAAAGTCGCGGTCCAGGAAAATGGCTTGAAAAAATCAAGGTGGAAAAAACGGAACAACGGGACTATTTTTTGAGCGAGTGATTATTTCAAAAAGTTTTAGCACTTATTCGAAAGCTCTAATCTTCTAGTTTCTAATTAGCCTTAGAACATGCTGAAGAAAGTTATGAACGTTTGAATGTCGAAAACTCGCGCCTTCTCAAAAATCGGACCACAAACCCCAAAAACGGAACAACGGGACTATTTTTTGAAGAGAATGATCGCTGGAAAAATTTTCAGGTGCTTGTTCGAAAGCGCTAATCTTCTAGTTTCTAATTAGCCTTAGACATTTGCAAAAAGTTGATTATGAAGTTTGAATGTCGAAAACTCGCGTGTGCACAAAAACGGAACAACGGGACGATTTTTTGAAATATTGAACATCCGCAACATTTCAAATACTTTTCAGGAAGAAAACTATTTGAATTTTTAAAATTTTGGTGTCCGGTTCCATGAGACCGCTTCTGAAGAAAAATATATTTGTTTTGTAACGTAATTGCTACAAGGTTTAGTTTTTCAGATTATAAAATAAGGAAAATTGAGAGATCGAAAAAAACTTGGTAGGTTTCTGAAAGTAGAAATCTTTGTGATTAAATCATGTATTGGTTTACGCAAAAATTTGGAAATTCCTTCTATTTAATGAATAAAACTTCATGTTGCCTCGATTCCCTCCTCTGAGCGAGATAGAGCGCGTATTGCGTAGCAGCGCAATTTGCGCTATTTCTCGTCATAGGAAGGACGTAGCGCGTGTAGACCACGGTCCACCACTTCTCCATGTGGTGACTGCCCATACATCAATGATGAGCATTAAATTATGTGAAAGACATAATAGTTAATACGGGGGGTCGTACCGATACCCTCCGAAAAGGAAGGGGGTCGTAAAAATTTGGGAATTTGCGCAACGCAGGGTTGACCCTGCCCAGAGAGGCGAGGCGGCAGATCTTGTGCATTACGCGGTACACAATAGGTTAATTTTGTTGTGCCTATGAGTTCTTCCGCATCACCTGCGTCGCTATATTTTATATATGCGCGGATTCCTCGTAGAAGTTGTCCTGCTGTTGCTATTTCCTTATCTTGCACTCCAGAATGGTGGAGAGTGTAGATAAAACGCCAATAAATGCGTTTAGGTTCATGCAAACAATATCTCTTTTTGCGTTGATTTACTGCAACGAATTCTTTACGAATTCGGTGAGGGAGTTTCGCCTGAAAAGAGACTGCCATATATAGAGCAAATGGCATACGCGGTTGAAATCATAGGTAAGGATCGCTCTAGGGTTTTATAGAAAACGTTTATCATTAACGAAATTCAGCATCAGCGGCTTTGAGAGGAGTGGAGTACACTGCGCAATTATTGGATCGACCGACTGCAGTGGAAACAGTAGTAGACATTTTGGAATCGGTTTGTTATTTCTTCTATTGTAAGATTCCTCTGATCAAAAGTGTATTCAAGACATTCCTAGGTTCTCGATGCACAATGGGTGGTCGAAAACGAAGGTTGTGTAGAGCCGACACCTCATCCACATCGTCCTCCTAAAGAGCAAGAGGTCAGATGTATGCGATTACAGAACTGTCCACCAATGATTGCCTTATCTGCTGCTTTGCGTGACTCACTCGTGGAAGTGCGAGCGACGTTAAAATGTGCAGCGGTTCGAGCTATTGGTGAGTTGATGCAAACTTTGTTCTTTACCTTTAATTCCTTTTTCATTGGAAAACCTGTTTTGTACCTTACTAGCCGTCAAGGTTCCTTATTTTTATCCCTGCTACAGTCGCACTGCCCGTGCTCACTCCTACTTGCGATGTCAACACAAAGTGGCTTCAGTGTGTATACAGAAATATCCCTACTCTATATAAAACGTTATGTCTGTCTGTCTGTTTGTGTGTGTGTATGTATGTGCGTGCGTGTGTCACGAAATTCATAGCACGCGCACCAGCAGTCGTCAGGAGTTGATTTCAAGATATGATATAGGGGGTGGGACGGGAACATATTTGGTGGGGGAGAAAGTGATAACAGCTGATAAGATCCGATAAGAGGCTAAAATGCAAGTGTCGCGAAGGTCATAGTGCGCGACCCAACAGGATTGAGGCACTGTCTCTTAGATATAGTGATATGAGCGAGTAGCTCGGGAACAGAGACGTCATTAAAGTTCCTATCTAGGTGCATGATGAGGAAACATTCTATTTCATTCGTGATATCGTTGTCTTTCGACTATACAAAACCCATTCAACCGCTAACTTTCTGAACCTTCAGATAGGCGGTGTTTGTGGATACTTTATATGCTTTCGGGTGTTTCTATTTCATTATCATCACCACCAAAATTTATTTGACCGCTTATGGAGCGTTCATAGTTGGCGATCGTACGTGCGATTAGGCGATTAGGCGATTAGGCGATGATTCAAAATGAAAAGTATACGTATCGATTAGGCGATTAGGCGAGTAGGCGAGTAGGCGATAGGCGATGAGTAAAGGATACGTATCGATTAGGCGAGTAGGCGAGTAGGCGATAGGCGAGTAGGCGATTAGGCGAGTAGGCGATTAGGTGATATCTGGATTGTATGCAACACTTTGACAAGATCTGCTTTTACCAACTAGTAGTCTAGTGTATGGGTGAGAAGCTAATATGCATGTGCGCCTCAATTTTGACGACTAAGGAGTGCGCCGTGTGCAAATCGCCTAATCGCCTAATCGCCTACTCGCCTACTCGCCTAATCGTCTACTCGCCTACTCGCCTACAACGTCTCAGGGCGGAACATACAAGTCGATACGTACCCTCGCTCAAATAACCAGAAAATGTGCAATTGCAGAAATTGACGTGGCATCGAATCAAGAACATCTTTGAGCACACGTGACGTCACCTTTTCATCGAGAATTTAGCCACGTGTGCCACGTGGATTTCTGGCTGCATGAAACGGAGTGTATTATGTTCTCCCCGCCTAATCGCCTACTCGCCTGATCGCCTACTCGCCTACTCGCATACTCACCGAATCTATACGTATATTTTTCATTTAGACTAATCGCCTAAACGCCTAATCGCCAACTATGAACGCTCCATTAAAGTTCCCAACATCCGATGCGTGATTAGTTGTTTACGCTATTGGCTGACAGTAAACATCTATATGTTAATTGTATCAGTTTATCACAAGCTTGATTCGGCCGCTTAGTACCATGTTTAGCTTCTGAAGGAATTGATGGATGTTTATGGTATTGACGAGCTACGTAAGATGACTGGAGATGCTTATCACTAGCGCTGCAGTAGTATTTCGTTAGTAACACCGGTCAAATCCATTAAAACATGCATGCAGCCTAATACAAGGCGCCTCGACTATTGCTCTCCAGTTCCGCTGCCACCAGCCCACCTTATATGCGCGCGGTAGCAAGCGGAGCCAACTGGTCTTATATATAACGACGAATGTTACGACGCTATTGGCTAACAGTAAACATTTTAATGATGACGACATAGCATCACGAGACTGATGCCTAATACTTATTTGATCCTTGTCTACCGGTTACCTTTTTCATGGCTCTGCTCCTCAGCGCATGATTCATCACCCCAAGAAGTGAGCGAGATTGTGCTTGAAAGATAATTGCGATGATGTTGTTATATTGCCGGCATCACGAGGTGTTGACGCCGCATGACCCCTAGTTTTGCCATCGGTCGGACACCCGTAGAGACGCACATACACGCCTATGCATGTGTACATAAACTATATTACAACGTCTGGGTGTCGCGTCTAGGGATCTATTTAGAAAACATACCGTAGAACACTTCTTGTAAGGCCATTTTTAGCTGTTTTTTGTGTATTTTTTCACCCCAAAAGGCTTCTTTGTAAAAAGGTAAGCCTGTAGGGGTGAAAATAACATTGGAAGTTTTACTGCAAAATATCCTTAGTTGTCTCCCCATAACCCTGTAGGCCCTCCCTCAGTGCCCTCACCGTCATCAGCACATGTCGTCACCTGCCACCACCACCGAGGGTCAATTTCAGTGGTCATTCGGTTTAGACGGAAAGAGTAACTACTTACTTAGATAGTCCTTCAGCAGGCGATTTTCTCAGCGCGGACCACAGCTCTTCCATGCTTCCCGGTTTCTGGCGACTTGCATCCAATGTAGACCACGTTGTCTGAAATACTTTGAAAACGAGTCGGCCCACCGGGTTTGCGGTCCTCCTAGCGGTCTTGTTTTGTTTCTTTGGAGCCATTCAGTGACTCGGAGCCTCCACCTTGTATCCTTGGCTTTTTTGCCTGCTACAAGTTCCACCGATTTTGTTGAATCTTCTCACGTTGCCCTTGCTCACGTCTTCAATAAATAAATAAATAAATAAATCTGTCATCGTATCGGAGAAGAAAGCGACCAGCCCAACGATATTTCGATTGTGCCTTGTGCTGTAGGGTACAGTACCGGTCAAAAGTCTTCGCCTGGAATTGTTTTTCGACTGTAACTTTTTTTCCGCTGAATCAAATCAATTCAAATTTTAATATGTTTTAGAGATAGTCCTACTTCACTTAAACGGCATATTTGTTTCGGATTGAGAAAGAATTAAGAATGGAAAAAATCATTTCACTAGAAATTCTCGCGTATGAGCAAATTCCAAGTAAGTTTCAAATTACTCTAGCAAGCTTACAATTCAACAAAACAATCTTACGCATGATGAATAACACTGGGCAGGTCCAATACTTTGTTAATGATCTTCTGGGTTCGCTGAAATACTAACAAGGCCTAAGTAAGGAATCAGTCATTGAATGCACTGTCTACTAGGGCAGCTTCCTCCACTTCTCTTGAAATTTGACGAGTTTCTCGCCCATATTTCCGGCTCTTAGGTATCCCTACTCTTTCCCATAATGTTTCGATGGCGCTCGGGACATTGGTGTGAATTGTTCCTTTCGTTGAAAGCGCGCCATGCTGGCGAAGCCACTCCTTCACAGTGAAGGTGTGATGCTTTTGGTCGCACTAATGCTAGAAGGCGAGCTCAGTCGCGGGCAGCTGTCATACATGTGGATAAGAGCTCCTTCTAGAACCCAACTGTATAGGCTGCCTTCACATGATTGCGAATACTGCGAAGTTAGTCGGCGGTGAACTGGTCGGGGGCGAAATGGGCTTACGCACACCTAAAGTGGGGATCCCCATAGGGCTACAACGTCCTGCGGACCAACGAGAGTCGCCGGCAATTACTCTTGTTGGTCTTGCGGACCAACAAGAGTGTTTGCCGGCGACTGAAATAGGAATGTGTGCGGTCCTGAGGAAAAACGTTTCGATCCAAGGAATTAACTGCCGTATGTAAAACTTGGCGGAGGCTCGCGTGTGGTAGTCCGTAAAAGAAGTTTTACAACTGCACAGGATTAGAGAAGTGGTGAATGCCGACGTATCAGATAGATTCTGGAAGGAGTTTCGTATTCCGCTCGTATGAAACTGTACGTGACTGAGTTCGCCTTCTAGCTATAGAGCGACCAAAAGCATCGCACCTTCACTGTGAAGGATTGGTTTCGACAGCATGGCGCGCTTTCAACGAAGGGAACAATTCACACCAATGTCCCGAGCGCCATCGAAATACCAGCTGTCGTTTTCAATTAAATATAATGGTTCCCACCCTATACATTTTGCTATTGCCACAATCGTTCGCTGTGCATTTTGGAAACATGATCGACTTATACCCTAATATGTTTGCCCATCAAGACGCAAACCTTCACCTTGATACTTGATTTCTGGAGAAATCTCGATTCAGAATTATTAAAATATCTTCCTTAGAACGTATTTTCACCGTTTCGCAAATATGACTACACATCACTTGTCGAGAGATTTTACTATAACGAAAAAACGTCACGAATTTTCAATAATGGGATGACCCCCCAATAATCATAAGGAACACAATAATACGTTTTGAAATGCTGGTAGCCAAATTAGCTATTACAGTAGGATCGAAATTCGTCTGGGCGCCGATGATCGACCTTTTCAGCTTTTCGGCTGTTCCATTTTGCTTTACTTTGCTGTGGAACTTTATAACAATTAAGGCCCAATGATTCTCTATTGGAATCTAATTCAGATAACATGGTGGCCACCAGATAACTGCCACATTTTTTCCTGCAATTCCATCTGGCGCGGAGGGACCGGCATGGACAGCCGCGTTATCGTGTGTGAAAATCAAGGATAGAGGGGATCCTTGTTGAAAAAATGGTAAGACTCGCTTCGAAAGAACTTCACGATACCCTGTGGAATCTTTGTGAACGGAAACAAAAGCGAGCTCTAGCTACTCAGTCGTTCAAAGGTGCCTCAAACCATAAGGGATTCACCGCCGAAATTACGTTACATTGAAACCATCTGCGATTTTCACGCGATCATCCTGTACCCTCTTTTTCTGCCATATCCACCTAGAATAAACTTTTCCACGTCGATCTCAGACCACCTGTAGAACGAAACAAGGAGGTAGAGTCCAAGATCGCGAAGGGTCTTAACAGCCACACCATCGCTCATTAAGTTGAGCCCTTTTCCACGGAGAAATGGAGACTTGCGATCTTGTAGCGCTCAAATAATCTTGGAACGCTCTTCATCAATCCGTTGAAGATGTTATTGCTCTGCTGGCTTACTCACCACACGGTGGTTTTGCTCACGGAAGGCCGCATTTCAGTACGGACTTTGTTCGGACTCCTTGTATAATTCGAGAGAAGACACCCAATTCCTCCTAAATTTTGAAGGAAACGCAG